CTCATCTGAGTTTCCAGCTTCCACCCATGTCCCCTCGTTCTGTTACTTTTCCGTGTGAATATTTCGCCTATGTCCACTCTGTCAATTCCCCTGAGTATTTTATACGTTCCTATCATATCCCCCCTCTCCTATCTCTGTTCTAGTGTCGTAGGGCTCAGTTTCTTCAGGCGATCTTCATACCCCCATCCCTCGTAACGCTGGGACGAGTCTCGTTGCAAACTTCTGAACCCTTTCCAGTTTCCTTATGTGTTTCTTCAGATGGGGACTCCATGATAAGACTGGCCTCACGTAGGCAGTGTAAAGCGCCCTGAATGCCTCCTTACTTAGGTTTCTGAATGATGTTCTAACTTTTGCCAGAGTAGAGTACGTTGCTGTCGTTATCCTATTTATATGTGCCTCAGGAGATAGATTAGGTGTTACGTCCACGCCCAGGTCTCTTTCTCGAATCCTTACAGATAGGTAGTTCGCCTTCATTGTGTACTGTCCCTTTGGTCTCCTATCACCTGATCCTATTTTCCATAACTTTACATTTACTCGTGTTGAACTCCAGTTGCCATTTCTCTGACCATCTCTGCAACCTGTCCAGGTCCTCTTGCAGGATCCTCCAATCCTCATCTGTCACAACTCTTCTCATTAACTTTGCGTCATCCGCGAACATCGAGATGTAGGACTCTACGCCTGTAAACATGTCGTTAACATACATTAGAAACAGAATTGGTTTCAGCACCGATCCTTGAGGTACTCCACTCGATACTGTTCGCCTGTCCGACTTCTTGCCCCTTACCGTAACTCTCTGGCGCCTTTCTCTTAGGTAGTGCCTTATCCATTCTAGGGCCTTTCCTCCCACTCCCCGCCTGCCTCTCGAGTTTGAATAGCAGCCGTGCGGTACTGTATCAAAGGCTTTCTGGCAGCCCAGAAATATGCAATCTGCCCAACCTTCTGTGTCCTGTCTTATCCTCGTTATTTTATCATAGAATTCCAAAAGGTTTGTTAGGGAAGATTTCCCTTTCCAGAACCCATGTTGATGTTTGTTTACAAACCTAACGTTCTCCAGGTGTGCAACCAGTCTTAGCCTAATTATTCTTTCAAGTATTTTACATGGGATAATTGTCAGTGATACAGGACTATAGTTAAGTGCCTCCTCCCTATCACCTTTCTTGAAAATCAGTACAACATTTTCCCTCTTCCAGCAATTGAGCAATTCTCCCGACATAAGTAATTCATTAAAGATCATTGCCAGAGGAACACTGAGGGCCTGCGCTGCCTCTTTTAGTATCCACGGTGCTACTGTGTTTGGTCCAACCGCTTTAGTTGCATCCAGTGTTGTCAACTGTTTCATTAACTCCTCTGTTGTCACCTCTATGTCTGATAGTTTCGCTTCTAGGGTAATCTCTTCTAACAATGAGCTGCTAAGGATCGATTGTGAACACTCCATATAAACTGGCATTCAGTGCCTCGCAGATTTCCTTGTCACTTTCAGTATATGCCCCCTATGTTTTCCTTAGTCTTGTCACTTGGTCGTTCAACGACATTTTTCTTCTTATATGGCTGTGTAGTAATTTAAGTTGCTTTTTCGCTTTAATCGCAATATCGCTCTCATAATTTCTTTCCGATGCTCTTCTTATGTTAATGTAATCGTTCCTAGGTCTGTTGCATCTGATCCTGTTGTCCTCTGTCCTTTGTCTTCTGTACTTCCTCCACTCCCGCCTGCTGTTCGTTTTTGCTTCCTGACACTGTCTATTAAGCCATGGGTTATTATATTCCTTCTTATTTTTTGCTTTACTGTTGATATAAATCTCTTTTCGGCCTCCTGGCATTTCCGTATGACTAGGTCCATCATATCTTGGACTGTTTTTCCTCTAATTTCTTCCTCCCACTGCACTTCTCCCAGATAGTCCCTTATCCTCTTGTAGTCCCCTTTCCTGTAGTCAACTCTCCTTTCCCAGACCTCTTGTCCCTTGGTCACAACTTTGAATTCTATCATGTAATCAAAGGCTATAGGTTATCTTGAGGTTATCTTGAGATGATTTCGGGGCTTTAGTGTCCCCGCGGCCCGGTCCTCGACCAGGCCTCCACCCCCAGGAAGCAGCCCGTGACAGCTGACTAACTCCCAGGTACCTATTTACTGCTAGGTAACAGGGGCATTCAGGGTGAAAGAAACTTTGCCCATTTGTTTCTGCCTCGTGCGGGAATCGAACCCGCGCCACAGAATTACGAGTCCTGCACGCTATCCACCAGGCTACGAGGCCCCTATAATGGATACTAGGATACAATGGTCCTGGGCTAGGATACAATGGTCACTGGCCCCCTAGAGGTATTTCATGTTCCAAATTACAAGAGTTGTTACATTCTTGTACAGCCACTAGTACGCGTAGCGTTTCGGGCAAGTCCTTAATCCTATGGTCCCTGGAATACGATCCCCTGCCGCGAAGAATCGTTTTTTCATCCAAGTACACATTTTACTGTTGCGTTAAACAGAGGCTACAGTTAAGGATTTGCGCCCAGTAAATCCTCCCCGGCCAGGATACGAACCCATGACATAGCGCTCGCGGAACGCCAGGCGAGTGTCTTACCACTACACCACGGAGACTGCAATGATTGCAGTCTTTCTTTCTTGTGTCTCTTTCCCTTGTGTCTTCCTTAACATGTTGTGTTAGGAGATTCCTGTCTATAACATCTACTAACTTTCCTTCCCACGTTTCGTCCCCTCCATGGGGATTCCTTGATTCCCAATTTATCTCTCCATGATTTAGGTCCACCATGACCAGCAGTTTCGCTCTTATTCTGTGAGCCAATGTTGCTGCCTTCTGAAGTTCATTTATGCATGCCTTGTTGTTGTCATCATACTCCTGCCTGGGTCTTCTACTGTTTGGTGGGGGATTGTAGATTACTAAGATCACAATCTTCTTCACATCTGCTGTCAGAGTTCCATGTATGGAGCTTGTGCTCTCATTGGTGCCCCGATTTCTCAGGTCTTCAAACTTCCATTTCCGCTATATTAGGAGTACCACTCCCCCTCCCTGTCTCTGTGTCCTCTCTTTTTGTATCACCTGGTACCCCTCTAGAAAGATTGCTTCTGAGATCATGCCATTTATTTTAGTTTCCACTATTGCAACTATGTCAGGATCTACCTCACTAACTCTTTCTTTTATCTCTTCTGCTTTATTAGATACCTCATCACCATTGGTGTACCAAACCTTGAGACTCTTTTTGGAAACTCTGGTACCAGAATGCACCATTTCTCTGGGATCTGGGGGGATCTGGGGGGTGTCTGGGGGGGGTGAATGGGGGCTGGGGGGATCCAGGGGGGTGTCTAGTGGGTGAATGGGGTCTGGATGGGGTGCGTGGTGGGCGAATGGGGTCTGAGTATCTAGGAAGGTAGGTAGGAAGGTCTGGGGGTAGTAAGGCCTGGGTAGGTAGGTCTGGAGTAGGAAGGGCACGCTTGGTCTGAAAATTAGGGAAGGTCTGAGAGGCAAAAGGGGGGATTGAGAGGTAGCATGAGGCTGAGAGTCAGATAGAGGTTGAGAGATTAGGGGGGGAGGGGAGAAGGATAGAGAGGTGGGGTGGGGGGAAAGAGGAGAGAATGGAGCATGGATAGTGAGTGTGGGAGAGAGGCTTTATTAATCATGGGGAACTCAGAAGTAGATGTGGGCATTGGGGTAGAATGGGGGAAGAGGGAAATGAAGGAAGAGGTGGTGGGGGCGGTCCCCCATCCCCCACGGGGGAATCTATGTGACCCCCTCGCAAGGGGAAGGGGTCACATGGAAGAAGGGGGGGCAGAGGAGGGGTGAGGGGTGGCCAGGGTTTGGGGGTTGAGGGGATGAGGGGGTCCTTGGAATGTGGGATGAAGCAGATGGGTTTGAATGCAATAGGGTCAGAGGGGACAGGGGGAGTTGTTGGGGAGATAAGCAGGGGCGAGGGATGGGACGGCTAATTTGGGGAGGGTGTGACCTGGGAAGCAGGTGTGGGTTGGTTAGCAGTTAACACGGGTCGGGTGGGTAACTACGCTTGAATGGGAAGAGTTGTGTCGTGTAGGTCGGCTCGCTCTCTGGGCTATCTTTTCATCTTTTGTCATGTATCTGTCAATATACAAGTTGTAATAGTTTTCGCTACCTCTGAGTAAATGTTTGTGTTGCAGTATGTAATCCACTGCCTCTTCGTTAGTGAACTGTACCAGGACAGGTCGTTTCTTGGTACAGTTGTAAGGCCCAATGCGGTGGATTTCCACCTCATTCCCTGCCATCTTGGCTCTAATATATCTCAAGATCCCCTGTAACTCAAAATCTTATATCTCCATCCTTTCCTGCCTCGTTGATGCCTTGGCTTCAAGTAATCCATGTAGTATGACTCTGTGTGTGTGTGTGTGTGTGTGTGTGTGTGTGTGTGTGTGTGTGTGTGTGTGTGTGTGTGTGTGTGTGTGTGTGTGTGTGTACTCACCTAGTTGTGATTGCGAGGGTTGAGCTTTGGCTCTTTGGTCCTGCCTCTCAACTGTCAATCATCAGGTGTACAGGTTCCTGAGCCTATACACCTGTTGATTGACAGATGAGAGGTGAGACCAAAGAGCCAGAGCTCAACCCCCGCAAGCACAACTAGGTGAGTACACACACACACACACAGTCATACTACATGGATTACTCGAAGTCAAGGCATCATCGACACTAATATGTGTGTGTGTGTGTGTGTGTGTGTGTGTGTGTGTGTGTGTGTGTGTGTGTGTGTGTGTGTGTGTGTGTGTGTGTGTGTGTGTGTGTGTGTGTGTTTCAAAGACATGACAATATTTTGCTTAAACCGATATTAATAAAAAGGAACAAAACTCATTCATCTATATAACCACCTGACAACACTAATATTTTAAATATGTGACCATATATGGTTTCATGTTTGGCCATAAATAAATGTAATAATAATAATAATAATAATAATAATAATAATAATAATAATAATAATAATAATAATAATAATAATAATAATAATAATAATAATGTTAAAGCACTTGAAACCTGTCAGTGTGGGAAGTGAGGACTTGACTGTTGTTGAAGTCTTGAATGGTCACCCCAGCCAGCATCAGGGCCAGTTTTAGGTCCTTTTCCTCCTGTTGTTGTCTTCTGTGCTCCTCCTGCCTCTGCTCTGCCTCCTGCTGCTGCTGCTGTTCCTGCTGCCTCTGCTTCTCCTGCTGTATTTTCGACCTCTCCTGCTGCTGCTGCTGTTCTATCCACTCAAATTCCTCGCCCTGGGGAAGTGAGCGCCGGTCAAGCAAAGAGCTAACTATCAGAAGATGAAATGCTCAGCGGAAAACCTCGCAGGCAAAGAGGTTGGAAGATCAGATGAGACGATAAATGATGCTGGAAGAGACGAGAGATGATGCTGGAAGTGATGAGAGATGATGCTGGAAGACGAGAGATGCTGGAAGTGATGAGAGATGATGCTGGATGAGACGAGAGATGATGCTGGAAGACGAGAGATGATGCTGGAAGACGAGAGATGCTGGAAGTGATGAGAGATGATGCTGGATGAAACGAGAGATGATGCTGGAAGACGAGAGATGCTGGAAGTGATGAGAGATGATGCTGGAAGTGATGAGAGATGATGCTGGATGAGACGAGAGATGATGCTGGAAGTGATGACAGATGCAGCTGAATGAGACGAGGGATGATGCTGGAAGTGACGAGAGATGATGCTGGAAGACGAGTGATCATGGAAGAGATGAGAGATGATGCTGGAAGTGACGAGAGATGATGCTGGAAGACGAGTGATCATGGAAGAGATGAGAGATGTTGCTGGAAGTGACGAGAGATGATGCTGGATGAGACGAGAGATGATGCTGGAAGAGATGACAGATGCCGCTGAATGAGACGAGGGATGATGCTGGGCAAGAGAGAAATATTTTGCAGGGAGATAGAGGGAGAGAAGAGAGAAACGCCATATGACGCTGCTATACAAGTATATGAGAGACGAGAGACAATGCTATTAGAGATATGCAAAAGTGAGAGAAACCAGAAATTATTCTTAGGGAGACGGGGAAAAAATTGCAAGAGAAGATGCTTTTAGACAAGTAGGTGATATAGAGGTGAGAGATCACCCCCATAGAGATGGGTGGGTGAGGAAGATGAGAAATGATGCTGTTAATATTGAGGTGAGGTACCGCGAGAGTCGTGATCGGAGAGGGAGAGAGACAGGGAGAGGGAGAGAGAGGAGTAGAGGGGCACCAACCCACCTTCAGTAGAGGTGTGAGGTGATGGGCCGTACAGGTAGCTCTGGCAGGCACCTCACAGGTCCTGCACCACATGTCCACCAGACACCCTACTAACGGCGGCGCTGAAGGCTGGACACTCACAGAGTTCTCCTCCACACCTGCAGGGGGCAGACCGCCCGCCCCCCTGCCCCCCACCGCTGAAGGAGGCGCAGCAGAAGTGTGACAGAGCACTTCACTACCGCAGGAAGGTGACGTGTCGAAGAGATTGGGGTATAACCGCCCTGGAGCGTGTGTAGGTTGACCAGGTTGTGATGGTTTTTGTGGGGCAGGGTTCTTGGGGCTGCGGAGGATCACCAGTCTGGTGTGGTAGCGTGGGGGCTGAGTGGGGGGACACGGCGGTGGTGTGGGTGGTGGTGGGGGCGGCTTCTTACGTATTTGTTGAAATTCTTCCTTTCTTAGTTGCCTCAGTCGCTCCTTCTGTTGCACCCTATGCTGCCTGATCAGCTCCTTCTGCCGCTGCTTCTGCTGCCTGTATTCCTCCTTCTGCTGCCTGTGTTCCTGCTTCTGCTGTCTGTGTTCCTCCTTCTGCTGTCTGTGTTCCTCCTTCCGCAGAAGTTTCTGCTGCCTCTGCTCGTGCTTCTGCTGTTGATGGGTAAGTGGTCCTGGGGTAAGTGGTTCTGGGGTAAGTGGTCCTGGGGTAAGTGGGGGTTGAGGTAGCGGCCGCTGCGTCTCGCCCTTGTGGACCGCCTTCAGCCTCACCAGGTCTCTGAGGTGAGCCAGCACGTACCTGTATAACCAGCCAGAGTATATGATAAGAATATAAGAATAAAGGCAACTGCAGAAGGCTTATTGGCCCATACGAGGCAGCTACTATTTACAACCAATCAATAAGTCAGGTGCTGTCACAGTGAGAGGTTGTGTTAGCTGGAGCTCTGGAGTAACATTATTATTGCAATAATGGAAGGATTAGTTAATGATTTGGTGAGTTTGGTTGGAGCTCTGAGAGCAGAGATGGATTCCCTGCGGGAGGAGGTACGACGGCTGAGACTTCGAGAGGAAACGAAGGAGGAGACCAGTGTTGACGAGACCTCATCGTGGAGAGTAGTGAAAGACAGGGGTCTTAAGAAGACCTTGACAAGGCCGCCTACAGACGCCCTAAGGACGGCAAATTCATTTGCCGTGTTGGAGGACGAGTGCTGTAGTGCGCCTGCAGCGAGAAAATCAGCGAGGAACGGCAGAGCGCAGGCCCCTCAGGCTGCTCAGAAAGTTAGGGCGGTACCGAAGCGAATTTTGGTTGTGGGAGATTCCCAGGTGAGGTATTTAGACAGAACGTTTTGTGCCAGAGATAGGGGGAACAGATTAAGGGTTTGCTATCCGGGAGATGGAATTGGTGATATTGTTGAAAACATGAATGATATTATGACGGGAAATGGGAACAAACCCATTATTTGTATTAGTGCAGGGGGTAATGATGTTGAGCGAGTTAGGAGTGAGGAACTAATACAGAGATTCAGGACAGCCATTGAATTAGTTAGGAGCAAGGAAGGAATCCCGATCATATGTGGCATTCTTCCAAGAAAGGGAGTGGGAAATGAATGGATGTCGAGGGCACTTGGTGTCAATTGCCGGCTGGAAAAATATTGCAAATCAAATGCAATATCTTTCATAGACAACTGGGAACGCTTCTATGGAAGAAATGAAATGTATGCTCGTGATGGGGTGCATCTATCGAGGACTGGGGTTGTTGCTGTTGTGAACTCGTTGGAACCAGTGGTTAGAGGTGTTTGTTTGGGTTTAAACTGTTAGTAGATAGTGGTATGGGAATTGATTTGGAGGAAGGAGGTAATAAAAGTATGTGTTCGTGGGAGAAAAGAATTGGCAAAATGATCAGGGGAAAGAAAAGGGCCTCAAAATAACAATTCACTTAGGATATATTACACTAACAGTAGAAGTCTAAGAAATAAAATTAATGAATTAAATGCTCTTGTCTGCACATAAAAAATAAATATTATTGCACTTACCGAAACGTGGATGAATGTAGAAAATAGAGAACTATTAGCTGAATATCAGATAAATGGATTTAAACTATTTCACACAGATAGATATATTAGACGAGGAGGGGGAGTAGCCATATATGTTAGGGACAATTTGAAATGTAGTCTCAAAGAGGGAATCAAAACTGAGCCACACACAAAAACTATTTGGATAGAATTAAACGAAAAAGCAAATAATATTATAATAGGAGTTATATATAGGCCACCAAATTTAGATAGAATGGAAGCAAAGCATCTATGGAATGAAATATCTAGAGCATCTAGATCTAACAGTATTTATGTCATGGGTGAATTTAATTTTAGTGGAATAAACTGGGTGAACAAAACAGGGAATAGTGAAGCAGAAGATTTTCTAGAATTAATTGACGATTGCTTTCTTACGCAACACATTAAGGAACCAACGCGGGAAAATAATATTTTAGATTTAGTGTTAACTAACAGGGAAACACAAATTAATGACATCGAAATAGGGAGTGAGCTAGGGAACAGTGATCACAAAGTAATCAGATTTAGCATAGAATGGAATAGACCTGTAGGAGAAAATTCTGTTAAAGTGCCAGATTTTCGAAAAGCTGATTTTAATAGCCTAAGAATTTTTTTGGGTCAAATAGATTGGAGTCTTGGGTATGGGGTATGGGAACCCAGCGACAGGTGACATAAAAGGGGATTTCGATGTGGATTTAATATATAACTTATTTAAGAATATTCTAAACAAAGCACAGGAACGTAGTATACCATACAAATTGAATAGATCGAATACTAATGACCCAAAGTGGATAACAAATATTTAAAGAACCTTATAGGTAAAAAGAGAGCTTGGTACAAAAGGATTAAGAATGGGGAAGTCAGGTTAGAACAGGAATTCATACAACTGGTTAGAATTGTTAAAAAAGAGATTAGGAAAGCAAAAAGAAACTATGAAGTTCGCATAGCAGAGCAAGCAAAGTCAAATCCTAAAGGGTTTTTTTCAGTTATATCGAACTAAGACTAGGGAAAGGATAGGTCCATTAAAATCTGAGACAGGTCAAATAACGGATAATGACAAAGAGATGAGTAGTATTTTTAACAAATATTTTATATCTGTATTTACTAAAGAAGAACTTAACAATATGCCTTCAGCCGAACAAGTCTATGTGGGTGGGGATAAGGACAGGTTGATTAGTTTAGCAGTTACCAGGGAGGATGTAATTAAACAATTAGAAAAACTAAAACCAAACAAATCCCCAGGGCCGGATGAAGTGTTTGCCAGGGTGCTTAAAGAATGCAAAGAGGAGCTTTCCGAGCCACTGTCTACCATATTTAATAAATCAATAGAGTCAGGCAGAGTGCCAGAGTCATGGAAGGTAGCTAATGTGGTACCAATTTTTAAGAAAGGAGATAGATCACTTGCGTCAAACTATCGGCCAATTAGCCTAACGTCTATTGTGGGAAAGTTACTCGAATCAATAATTGCAAATACAATTCGTCTCCATCTTGAAAAACATAAATTAATAAATGAGTCGCAACATGGTTTTACAAATGGCCGTTCATGTTTAACAAATTTGCTAACTTTTTATTCCAGCATAGTTGAGGCAGTTGATAGTGGTAAGGATTGTGATGTTGTGTACCTTGACTTTAGCAAAGCTTTTGATACAGTGCCACATGAAAGACTAATTAAAAAAATAGAAGCTCATGGTATTGGGGGTGCTATATTAACTTGGATTAGGGCATGGCTATTCCAAAGGAAACAGAGAGTTAGTATAAATGGGGTTAAGTCAGAGTGGGATAATGTTGTTAGTGGAGTACCTCAGGGCTCTGTCCTGGGACCTCTGTTGTTTATAATATATATAAATGATTTAGATTCAGGTTTGAGTAGCAACATTTGCAAATTTGCCGATGATACGAAAATCGGTAGGGAAATTAATTCGGAGGAGGACTCACTATCACTTCAAGTTGATCTAGATAGGGTTTTGAAATGGTCAAATGATTGGCAAATGCAGTTTAATGCTGATAAATGTAAAGTTCTGAGGCTAGGTAATGATGATAGAGTTACAAGATACGAGCTAGATGGTGTTGAGATTGCGAAGTCGGATTGCGAAAGGGATCTGGGAGTTATGATTAGTAAGAATTTAAAACAAAAGGATCAATGCATAAATGTTCGTAATAAGGCAAATCGGACACTTGGATTTATTAATCGCAGCGTTAGTAACAAGACACCTGGTGTGGTTCTCAAGCTATATCTTGCTCTAGTTAGGCCCCATTTAGATTATGCAGTTCAGTTTTGGTCGCCATATTATAGAATGGATATAAATTCACTTGAACGTGTCCAGCGTAGGATGACTAAGTTAATTCCCCAAATTAGAAATCTTTCATATGAAGAAAGATTAACAAAGCTTAAGTTGCATTCACTGGAAAGGCGAAGAGTTAGGGGTGACATGATAGAGGTTTACAAGTGGGTGAATGGACATAACAAAGGGGATATTAATAGGGTATTAAAAGTATCAACACAAGACAAAACACGAAACAATGGGTATAAATTGGATAAGTTTAGATTTAGGAAAGACTTGGGTAAATACTGGTTCAGTAACAGGGTTGTTGATTTGTGGAACCAATTACCGCGTAAGGTGCTGGAGGTGGGGTCCCTCGATTGTTTCAAGCGCGGGTTGGACAAGTATATGAGTGGGATTGGGTGGTTATAAATAGGAGCTGCCTCGTATGGGCCAATAGGCCTTCTGTAGTTGCCCTTGTTCTTATGTTCTTATGTAATACTTTTAATACCCTATTAATATCGCCTTTGTTATGACCATTCATCCACTTGTGCACCTCTATCATATCACCCATAATTCTTCGCCTTTATAAAGAATGTAATTTAAGCTTTGTCAATCTTACTTCATATGACAGGTTTCTAATTTGCGGGATTAACTTTGTCATCCTACCCTGGAAGCGTTCTAGTGAATTTATATTTATTCTATAGTACGGCGACCAAAACTGAACTGCATAATCTAAATGGGGCCTAACCAGAGCAAGATATAGCTAAAAAACAACACCAGGTGTCTTGTTACTAACGCTTCGATTAATAAATACCAGTGTCCTATTTGCCTTATTACGAACATTTTTTTTATTGAGTTTTTGGTTTTAAATTCTTATTATTCATAACTCCCAGATCACTTTCACAATCTGACTTCGCAATCTCAACACCATCTAGCTCGTATCTTGTAACTCTGTCATCATTACGTTACATGGATGAATGCAGAAAATAGAGAACTATTAGCTGAATATCAAATAAATGAATTTAAACTATTTCACACAGACAGATATATTAGATGAGGGGGAGTAGCCATATATGTTAGGGAAAATCTGAAACGTAGTCTCAAAGAGGAAATCAAAACAGAGCCACACAGAGAAACTATTTGGCTAGAGTTAAACGAAAAAGAAAATAATTTTATAATATGAGTTATATACAGGCTACCAAACTTAGAATGGAAGCAAAGCATCTATGGGATGAAATATCTAGAGCATCTAGGTCTAGCAGTATTTGCGTCATGGATGACTAATTTTAGTGGAATAAACTGGTTTAACAGAACAAGAATAATGAAGCAGAAGATTTTCTAAAATTAAGTGACGATTGCTTTTTTACGCAACACATTAAAGAACCAGCGCGGGAAAATAATATTTTAGACTTAGTATTAATTAACAGGAAACACAAATTAATGACATCGAAATAGGGAGTGAGCTAGGGAACAGTGATCACAAA